CTCTCTCTCTCTCGACAACTGGTCTCTGTAGCTCATTTGGTTTGAGCGCCGCATGGAAGCGCATGCAGGGCCGCAGGTTCAATTCCTGCCAGGAACCTATATAGTCGCATTTTGCGCAGCTGTTCCTGGTTTGGTCTAATGAATGTTTATAAATTTCCACTCGATAATTTCCAGCTACAAGTCCCTTCAAGTATTAATCACGATTTTTGCAACAAGTCTCTATTACTTTAAAGAAACCAGAACACTATAGTAGCTAGACGCTTGCATGAATTAGTCGCCTACGCTTTCCTGTATTATAAAGGAAATATTATAAGGCTAAATGATTTATTTAGGTAGGCTATATAGTGATTGTTTTGTGAGGAACCATATAGTATGATAACTGATTAGTATCCTCAGATAACGCATAACACTGAGTCACTAGAAGAAAAAAATATCTATATCTTTCGAAACCAAAGCTTATTCCTTTTGAAATAAAGTATTTTATTATATACAAAAGCGAGAAGAGAAAGGGGCACCCGCGCAAGAGCACAAATCCATTTATCCGCGAGTTATTACTGATAAAACCTTTGCATTCTCGTGCACAGAGTCCTTGTTTTGAATCCGGTTTTGTCTATTTCGAGTCCGGGTTTCCAGAAGTCAAGTCCGGGTTTTGTTAAACACGAGTCCGGATTTTCTTCGAGTCCGGGTCCGGGTTTTTCTCGAGTCCGTATTTTCTTCGGGTCCGAGTCCGGGTCCGAGTCCGGTCCGAGTTTCGAAGTATGCAATTCGGGCAGCTAACTGATTATTGACACTTGATGAGTAAGAAAGGTGGAGACATAAATATAATATTTATGCAAAATGACAACGGACCAATAAAATGCTTCATATAAACGTCATCAATCATGTTATGAATAACAGTTTTGTGAACAAGACGTGACTCCGCACAGCGCTTTGAGACGCATGGCATAATTTAACCACTACAAACCTTACGTACAGTAATGAGAGTTGTTTTATTTGGACTGTTATGGGGCGTATATGCATGCACAGGTGAGTCGTGGTATACCAGTGTGCTTACGATATGCGGTTTAGCTGTTAACGTACTAGACGGATTCGAAGGTTGGCTGTTCATCTACTGTATAAATAGTTTGGAGAATTAATGCTTCTGTAAGAATGGAGAGAAATAATTCCGAAAAGGCCAGATTTCTAAATTTGTAGTGAAGAAACTGGCAGATTGATATTACGAATATTTTGATAAATGCTGAATATTCGAATTTAATTTCTCATTGATATTGCACCTGCGGTGACCAATTTTGTATATAGAATGCTCAACACAGCATATTGGGGGATGAGTGTAGGATTCCAAAATATAACATGGATCAATTCTCAGTATTTTAACTTCTCAAGTTACACATGATAATGCTGAACACAGCATATCTGGAATGAGTATAGTGTACGATTCCGGAATGCAATTTGTCAGCTATACATGTAAGTCAGGTTTCGCACGTGAAATAATAAACATAGGACAAACTATAAAACGATTCTAGAGTGTCATGCGGGACGAATCATGTGTAGGCATCGTATTTCAGAACGTATTACCAATTTAGCAGCTGTCTTGAGATGCAAATCAGTGCCAACAAAACGGAAGTACAAAACTGAAGACTTGTTTACGGAAATTCTAAAAAGATTCTTTATCCTCTTTTAGAATATTTTCTTGTGCTTTGCGATGGTCGTTAAAAATGTATGTTTAATTTAATAAGTTCCTAATATATCAAAATTACTGCTGACGAGCAATGTGCTGCATGCGGCAAAGACAAAGAGCGTTGCAAACATGAATAGGTTAAATGCCTATAAAACATGGGACCAGTTGTATAAAACTCTTAATCACTTTTTTAATCACTATTTTGTAGTTAAATTGTGATTAACTCTCGGATAGGCGCTTCTTATTGGATGACGTTTCCTCTTAATCATAGTTAACTTTAATCACTTTTTTATACAACCAGCCCCTGAAGATCGATCAGACAAGATCGTGAAACTCAGGGTAGCGAAAAAGCATTGTTATTTTAAGATATTTATAATTTTAATTATATAGGGTGTATGAAAAAAAGGAGACCTTTAGAAATAATTTTGACAAGCATATTGTTAAAATTTGAATGCCTTTTCAATTGCACATATGCTGAACCGTGGTGCGTGAAATTTTGATGTTGTGCATATATTAGAAAAAGGAGACCTTTAGAAACCAACCATTGTTGTAATTTGAATCCTGGAGCACTTTGCTAAGCCCACGAGTGCGTAACGTCCAGTATGCATGGCAGATTGTTCCCAGGAGCAGACAATCTTTTGTTTAAACGTTATTTCAATTTCTAAAGATCTCCTTTTTCTAATATATGCACCCATCAATATTTCACACACTACGGTTCAGCATATGTGCAATTGAAAAGGCACTATTTCAATTTTAACAATATGTTTGATTTTTAAAGGTCTCATTTTTTTTATACACCCTGTATATTATATTAGGAATTTAACTATATATTAACTTGGGGAATTTTGAGAGAATACTCGAGAAGCGTGTAAAACACTCGGCTACACCCCGTGTTTTACACGCTTCTCCCGTATTCTCCCAACATTCCCCGCGTGCATTATCACACCACACAAACGCACGCGCCTCGTTTTCTATTTCTTAAACATATATATATATATATCTAGAACGATGCTCTACCGTCTGAGCTGCAAGGTCAAGCTGAGATCAAGCTTTACGCATTGAAGGACTAACCTCCGAAATGCAACTTACATCATAACTTAACAAGTCGTTCTCAGCTTGACCTTGTAGCTCAGACGGTAGAGCATCGTTCTAGAAATGCGAAGGTCGCGGGTTCGAATCCCAGCCGCGGTCAAGTAGAATTTTCTGCTTGCCCGGTTTGGTATACACTCGTCTGAAAACAACTCAAAAAACCGCTACATAACCGCTACATCACATAGAAGACAAACTTGAGTTACCTCACATGAACTTTATTTCACTACAAATTTGTTTCCTATGACAAGAATGACAAGTCTTGCCACACTCATCAAGTGAATTTAAATAACGCGCTATGTTGTTGCCTAGGATATATACTATGTACATGTTTGAGGTCAAAAGTATTATATTACAGTGTTATTTATAATCTATTTATTGCCCAACAGGAATTTTCCGGTGTCTACATTTCGACAATTTAAGAGCCGAGTTGATATAACTCAATGTCAACATGGGAAATTTTCCGCCGCCAGTAGTAGTAAACACGGAAATGTTTCTTATCCTTCGGGCTTTTGACATTGCTATATTATAAGTACTATTTAAAAAACGAGCAGGAGTGTGTTATTAGGTTTAAAGCCACGAGCGCGCAGCGCGAGTGGCTTTAGACCTAATAAAAAACGACCTGCGAGTTTTTTTAAATGGCTTCAAAAACGTTTGCATAATAAGTCAAATCTTTATATAAAGATCTTTATATAAAAATCTTTATATAAAAATCTTTATATAAAAATCTTTATATAAAAATCTTTACATAGTTTGCATAACAATGGTCTTTTGTTAAAGTGTTCTTTAGCTGGTATAAAGACGTATGCACGTGACTAATTTCATAGTACTCAAGATTGGATAATTGCTTCATGAATTATTAATGACTAGTTTTTGAAGAAAATATAAAACATTTTTACCGTATTGATATATAGTTAGCTATATCAACACTCGTGGAAGTTGGGAAAACTCGAAATTGTATGAAAACACTTCGCCCTTCGGGCGTCGTGTTTCCATACAATTTCTCGTTTTCCCAAATCCACTCGTGTTGATATAGCTGTATATTAACACGGAAAATGTTTTATATTTGTTATTTAACTTAAACAGCAATGTAAACGAACGTAAACAACAATGCTTAAACTATCGCGGCCGTGGCTTTAATCACGATTTCAGTGATTGAGTGACAACTTGTGCAATCGAAGTGTTCAGCTCAGCGTAAATTGAACGAGTGTACGGATTCCAGAATAGCTTGTCACGGAATCAGATTTGGGGCATCTTTTGCAATGGGAATTATGTTTGACAAACTAGAATGAAAAATTTCATGTGGTGTAATTTGTTGTAAGCGTATTTCCAGAATGTATAAAAGTCAGTTTACTGTCTTTATGTATATCTAACTGAAGTCCTAAAATAACCATCACATATTTGAAAATATTCTAAAAGGAACTCTTTGATCAGTGTTCACAAGGTTTGATGATGCACTTACTGTATCTATTTACCTGAGCGATATATAAAACGTCGGTAAGAAAATTAAAGGATACACCAGCTATAGTTGTTGTTCATGGTTATAGTATATTTGTTGTTGATGCAAACTGCTTTCTGAACATATATATTACAAGTACGTATGCCAATTCAATACGCATTAACATTCCAAACTATGCTGATGCATTTAGGAATTACAGCCTTCAATAGGTACCTAAACAATCTATATTTATCAAAAATTTCATGAAATGAACGGATTTGTGAAAATGAGAGCAGTTTCAAAATTGTCTATTTTTTAATTCACCCTGTGAAACAAAAGAATATCATTAGCAGGCATTGTATTTGAGGCGTGTTCAGTCGCCAACCTTGCCTCTGTATCTTTCTCTTATCAATCTCAAGAGATTGATTGCAATTCATGCAGCCACACTTAACTGGTTCAATTTGATTGCCAGTAATTTCAATATCAGCTTCAAGATAGCTAGCTTTCTTAAGCGAAAACCAACATCATTGTGCTTTACAGCATGTGAGTTTATCGCAGTGTGTCTATGTTTTCTGCATGGTTTATTAATGGAGAAAATTTCCTTTTTTAGGTGAACTGGGCATTGTTTCATCCTCGTCCACCGTGGCAAAAGACACCTGTGATGCTACTGAAGGAAGTTGTGAAGGTGCAGTAATTTTAATGCTTAAACTATATTATATCACCATAGAAATACATACATGCAACAACCCCTCGCCTATATTTTCCAAACCATGATTTAACAGGAAGCATTTGTACTATACATGCAAGAATAAATTTCCGATAGATATATATATATATATATATATATATATATATATATATATATATATATATATATATATATATATATATATATATAATATATAGGTATGTTAATTCTTTTGTATTTTGTGCGCTCTTAATTCATTTAAAATTTAATCTAATCTGAACCGCTTCGTAAAATGTTTTGAAATGTTCATTGATTGTAATAATAACTTTTTTTGCCAATAAGTTGTAAGTTCAATTTATAATGGTAATTGAACTGAGTGGAGTGCAATTTGGACTGTTTGATTTCAGTCCAAAATTGAATGGCATGAAGTTCAATTTCCACTTTATTATATTCATTTTGAAATCCTAAACTTTTTTGGAATCCGAAACGTTCTTGTTTGCAAAAGACATACCTCCGCCTCCGGCATCTCCCAGAGTGCTGTAGCATAGCGACAATAAGTGAACAAGATGAGCTTAGTTTATTAAATTATAATTTATACGCGCAAAATACTGCAAATTTGCTAAAGAAATGAGGACATTTATAAAGAATGAGAGACAACACAAGTAATTTTAAACTTATTGTAGGTTTTACCAGTGATTTAAAAGAGTTTTGGTGCAATTTTGTGCGTTTAAAATTGGAAATACGATGGGCCAATTTACCTTTGTTGACACTTTAAATTTGCTTTTGTTGGCGTTTTGACCATATTTGATAGATTATGTTGTTAATTTGCCCGTTAATATTTTGCGAAATTTGAAAATTCTTTGCAATTCTTTGATAGTTTACTGTAGCTATCCATATGTGTTTGTTTTTATGTGCAAAAAATTGCTTAAAAATCATTCATGACATATAAAATTTTTTGTTTTCGCTCATTTGCCATATCACATTTTTCTTAAAATTGATTTGCTGTTTGAATCCTATAATTAAATGTAATTGGTTGGCTGAAGTCAGCACTCTAATCTGTTTGGTGGAAAGAAGGTGCGATTTCAGCACAAATCGCACTGAAATTGCACTCCTGGGAACAAATCAGATTGCAGGAAACACCATTGATTTCAAAATGAACATAATAAATTGATTTATTATTAGCATGACAAAATTACTGGATGCTGATTGATTGAGAGGAGTACAATTATTTTATTAATTATTTATCTTCTGTAATCAGTGGCAAATACTGCAATTTCATTGGCTTACAGGAGTGTGATTTGAGCATTAATCGCACCTTTTCTGAACTGTAATCGCACCCTTGTCGACAGCCAATGAAAATCAGCCTAGTATTTACAACTGGGAAGAGATTATTTCGCTGGCCTCAGAGTGACAAAACGTAACAAGGAAACGGTTTTACTAACACTAACCCTACTCCAAACACCAACTCCAATCCTAACCCTAATCCTTACCCTAACCCTAAGCTAACCCTACTCCAAATTTGTTTCTAAACCAATCATGAACAAAAACGTTTTGAAGAAATGTCATTTTGAGGTCAGCGAAATAGTTGATGCCGGGTTCCTGTGAGTTATGTTCGTATGGTACGTCTAACAACGAGCCAGGTGGAGTGAAGTTCACACCAAACAGGGACAAATAAAACTTTATAAAAGACCATAAAATAGGTGTAAAAAGCAGTGTTTGAGCAGCTGATTGTGAAATCGATCAAGTAGCAAAGTTATCCCCAGAAGACAGACAAGAATATGAGAACTCTTTAAAGATAACAAAAACGCCTAAACGTTACGCTCTTAGAAGTAGACCGTACTAAATTGTGTAAAACGTTTTGAAGAAATAAATGTGTTTTAAATCTAAATTCTTGTGTAAATTTTTGCCCGCAAAGCCATGCCGCCGCGTAATAAATCTATCCGCAATAATCCTTTAACGACTGTTAATGACATTGGCAGCACACAATTTCGATACCTGCAAGACAAAATTTCGATACATATCGCACACAAACAATAACTCTCTGTTCGTATTCTTTCTGTTTCATGTTCGCTTCCTGAAATATAAACTTGTATCCACATGGGGTGGGCGGGTTAATGTCTTTTTAATGACAGTGTAATATGCCAATAGCAATCATAACAACGGCGTTGACAAGCATGTTAACTTAGCAACTGCTTCGTTCTGTTTAAATTATGTCGCGATTTTTTATTTCTGCTTGGAAACGTATTGCTCAAAACGGCTCCTTTCAGAGCCATTAAATTCATTAAAAGAATTAAAACTAATTTCGATTGCGTGTTGAAAATAAGAGAGGGATTAGGACTCACAACGTGCTACATGGTTGTAAGGAAAACAATTTTCTACCGTACCAGGCTCGAACCATGCAGTGACCTGACGAATACTGATTTGGTAATAATTACAGTCCCTTGCTCTACCAAATGAGCTAACGGTAGATTTTAAAAACGTTACTAACTTCTATTTCATTTATATATGCAAACTATCAGAAACCTCTTGTCGTTTTATTACAAATTTGTCAGAAACTAGGTGTGAAGCTAATTGGTTGCGTTACCTGTCATATTTGGCCCAGGCTTGCCCAGCAAAGTGACGCCTAGATTTTGCATACTAATTACTTCCGACACCAAATTAGACATGCATACTAATTACTTTCGACACCAAATTGGATTTGCACACTAATTACTTCCGTCCCTAGGTGGGGGGATTACTACTCACACCTTATCGCTTTTGCGTCATATTGTCTTTCAATTATAATATGTCGAATCTACAAGAAAATATTCAAATTGAATATTTTGATTATTTTACGCAGAGATCGGAGAGTGTTCTAATTGCGACGAGAATGCTGGATGCATATACAACAAAGGGAGTTTCAAATGTCAATGTAACGCAGGATACGTGGGCGACGGAAAAACTTGCACAGGTAAATTTGATCTGAATTAGAAACAGCGCCGAATTCGGCGAGCAGGGCGACAGCAAGGTGCAGGGCTGTCACTCCTTCATGCTATGAATTCATCAGAATAATAGACTTTAACAGTGTTTATTTAATTACTTTTTATTGGTACATATTATGTATATATTTATAAGACTATTATAAATTGATAAGAAAGTGACAGGGTCTGAATAAACGATACCCTTAGATTTAATAAAACTTCCTTTAATTTGGGGCATGGCACGTTTTATGGTTAAAATTAATAAGCCCTTGATATTAATCTTTAGCATCACGCGAAATTACACATTAAAATAAGCTTTGTTTTTTCTCTTGTTTATTTTCTGAAAAAAAATATATAAATAAATACTTTGGGAATCCTGTTCTTTCATAATATAATGGCAGTTGCGAGCCAGTGAAAGCTGTATTTCATCCACATTGCAAACCATTTATTCAACAAGAGATGGTCAAGAGAGGAAGGCGAGCTAATTTTAAAATGTTTCCTTGCTTATGCCCATCAATGTCATCTATAATGCTGCCATCAGTAGAAGTTTCAAATTTCTTGGAATCTATATACTGCATTTATATTTACCTATCTTTAAAATATTATTATAATATTTTTAGGTATTATATTGAAACTTAAATTTCTTTATAATTTTCCCAAAAATTTCGTTTCCAAAAATTTCATCCCCTTTCATTTCCTTGAAGTGAAAATGCTAATTTCGACAACGACGGTTGTTCATAATTATATGCAATCATAGTCGTAATTTCGTTGAAAAGAATGAATAATTAATAAACCGTATTGCAAAGCTGGTAGAATTCGAAGACTTGCCTCAAATTTTATTCTCAATGTAGAATTTTCTACTCCAAACAGTTGCTATTATTCAACAGGCGCAAGATTTTGGATTTGGTTTTTTACTCTAAAATTAATTATCCACTATCTGGTATTAGTATAAACCTACTAGTAGGCTATCACATACCGTGCCTTCTGATTCGCTACGCTACTAGTAGGCTATTAGTGATAGCCTACTAATAGAAATTTTAAAATGGCAGAAAATTCGCGTTTCGCACTTTTGCCGAAGTGTCTGATGATTTTTTGGACGCCTTGTTGAACAATTCTGTACTAAAAATACCCCGAAAAAAGCAACAAAAGTATGGAAAGCAATTTTTAAGGGTAAGAAAATAGACAAAATAACATACACTCAATGAAATTTTAAAATCGATTAAAACTGAATTTTGTAAAACATTTTACGCCAACAAAAACTAGAAATTTGTTTACCTAATGGTTATGGTATAATGTTTTTTTTTTTTGTATTTTTGTATTGTGTTTGCAGCCTAGTTGTAAATTAATGTTAAAGTTTACACTGAAACAATTAGACAACTCGGTCTCGTTGTCTATGAGCAAATAGTCAACCCGGCTTCGCCTCGTTGACTATTCGCTCATAGACAACTCGGCCTCGTTGTCTAATTGTTAATTATTATTCAGTATTCAAAAGATTCACGATTTCTGATTGGCTAACAGCCAACTGCAAAATCATCTATCTAAGCAACGGCTGACTAAATATAGAGTTTTTACATAATATAAAACGAGTGACGTCATAGGCTTAAATATTAAAAATGAAATTCGCCAAAACAATATGGCACCGCCTTTGCTATGTTTGCAGGTTTTAAGGAAACAACTTTTAAAATATTAAAGAAGAAATATAATCGAAAAAGCCAGGAAAGATTTTGAAACATCTTAAGGTACTTATGAAAGACAAAAGGAAAGATTTGGTAAAAATAAATGGTCATTAAAGACTGATTATTTCGAAGAATGAAATCCACAGGTTGCATGCAGATGTCTTTTTCATCTTTTTAATAAATAACAGAACAATAATGAATTCGACTTTCGTCACATATGAAGAATTTTCAAGCCTCCAGTTTGCCTTGACAACCTCTGGTTTCGGATTCGGCCGATAAGACAAACTTCTGTTTTCGTAATTCTTCATATCATGCTCAACCACATGCAATAACTGTTAAATAATGGATCGACGTGTAGAATCCAAAATCAGGAGAGCCAAACCGAAGCAGGCAGTCTAGTCTAGTCTAGTCTAGTCTAGTCTAGTCTAGTCTAGTCTAGTCTAGTCTAGTCTAGTCTAGTCTACTTACATTCCAACCTCCTGGCATAAACGCTCGTTTTTAGGAGGAAGAACTAGGCCGTGCTTTAACATGGACAATTTAATATAATTCTAATCTGACTACCCTTCAAAGTTAATATTTCCTCGCATTAGGAATTTGATCCTGCATATCCAAGAACAATCAAAACTATACCTGTATCATGGTAACAACACCCGAATTATGCCACAGCCTATCGATTGCTGCTGTCACCACTTAATTTTGTATTGTATATAATCATAATTTGTACCCACGTTAGTTGGCTCACATTATTGCAGTTGGCTCATATTGTTGCAGCCACATTGCCTATTCTTATGTAGCTTGTGCGTTTAGTGCAGGCGGGTGAAGAGAAGGCACTGGACAATAAACACTCTGTTGATGTAATTTATCTTGATTTCCAAAAAGCGTTTGACAAGGTATCTCACCATTTATTGCTCCGTAAATTAAGCAAACACGGTTTCTATGGTTCTATTTTCAACTGGTTTAAAAGTTACTTATCAGGAAGGATCCAACGAGTTGCGCTTGACGGTCATTATTCTGAATGGCTCGATGTGACTTCTGGAGTTCCACAGGGATCTATTCTCGGTCCACTGCTCTTTATATTGTACATTAATGACCTTCCGGATCAAATTCAGCAACCAACAGAAATGGCATTATATGCTGACGACTCAAAATTATATAGAACAATAAAATCGGATGCGGATACTGAAAATTTACAGTTAGATTTAAATGAAATGAACTCTTGGACAGAAACGTGGCGTATGCAATTTAATACAAATAAATGTAAAGTTATGAGGTTGTCGCGAAAAAAAATCCAATCGCACGTGAGTGATTACATATTGGGACACGAATCTCTCGAATTGGTAAAAACCACCAAAGATCTTGGAATAACTGTGAGTGACGATGTTCGTTGGGGGAAGCATATTGCAGAGATTACGGCAAAAGCAAATCGAACACTCGGGTTGATCAAAAGAACCTGCAGAGATTTTGAAGATCAAACTGTCAGGAAGCTCCTCTACCTTACATTGGTTCGGCTGCAGCTGGAATTTTCATCAGAGTTGTGGTCCCCGTCAGAAGTAAAATACCAGCTTATGTTGGAAGCGGTGCAACGACGAGCTACAAAGTTTATTTTAAATTACCCTGACACTGGATATAAAGAACGTTTGATAAAACTTAACCTTCTACCACTTGATGTCAGGAGAAGTATGAAAGACTTGTTATTCTTTCATAAATGTAGAACAGGTCTATTGGATATACATTTACCAGATTATGTACAAAGTCGACTTGCTCCTAAATATAACATTAGGTCACATGACGTGAATAATTTCACTGAACTTAAATGTAGAACTGAATATTTTAAAAACTCGTATTTTCCTCCAGCTGTGACAATGTGGAACTCGTTAGATAGTGATCTCAAAGCAATTGACAGCTCTAGTATTTTTAAGTCTAGACTTCTTAAGAAATTTTATATAGAACTTAATGTTTATGAACTGCCACATATGTAGTTTGCAGAGTGTTCCACTAGTTGTTAATATGTATATATAAATATATAGTAGCAAATGTTAGGTATATATAAGCTCTTTAATAGGTTTTTAAATTGGTAGTCATGTTCAATTGGGGCAATGCCCTGTTTGGCCACCAGTTGTTTTTTTTTAACTAATTACTACATTCTTGTATTTAGCAGTATATATAGTAGTGCTTGGATGATGCAAGTGTGTATGATTTTTCTTCTAAAGCAACAAAGTTATTAAAACAAAAACATCTGAAGAGTGCCACGTTATTTCCCTGGTACGAAAATAGTTTGTGTTGGGTTTTAATTAAAAAAAAAAACAATGATAGAGTGCTCGATGGATAACCAGAGCATAATAGAAAGACACAAAAACTTAGCAAGCTTTATTTGACATATTTATTACTATACAGTTTCGTACCACGTAAATAACGTGGCACTCTTCATGATCAGATAAAATAGCCTATTGAAAAAATAGAGGATGCGTAGCCAGGTTGAGACATTATTTATTGAAACGTTCTCTGAATTAATATTTAATTCTACGAGCTTTCGATTATCAGTCCATAGCCTTCGACGGGTGTATATAAATGATTCTATAAAGGACGCTAAACTTAAGTAGGTGGTATGAAATCTGAGACTATCTATGCTATGTTACATATGGGTAATATGAATATTTAATTAATTAATGTTTCTTGAGTTCCTTTATTAAAAGTATTGTGTATTGTGCTGCAAGCGTATTAGAGTTATTATCAGCTTCGTCTGTTATTGCAATGTGCCAGGTCTCTAAGGTTTTGAGGTTTCTATGATTTCCCTTGTCTATCACTTTAGCATTGGTAAAGTCAATTACATGATCTTGAGTCCATGCGTGTTTTGCAACATTCGATCCCTTCTTGCTTTGTTTTACATTTCTACGTGTTAAGACTTTTTCGTCTCCAGGGATCTTCCTGTTTCGCCTCTTTAGCTCCAACTACAATCTTGACACGGTATTTGGTAGACCACGTTCTTTTGCTCTTCAATTGGTGGTTTCTGTTTTGCACATGGAAACTGGCGTTCGGGGGTTTTCACTGGCTTATTGTAAACTTTGATGTCATGTTCTTGGAGTGTTCTGGCTAGGGGTTCGGTTAGTCCTTTGATGAAAGGTAGAACCGCGATTCCTGCAGGTGGCGACCTTTCTTCGACTACTTCGAAAAATGACCGGACTAACTCTTCAGGGCTTACCACAGTTTTGTTCTTACGTTTTTTTTTTATCAATCCTGAAATTAATTACTTTGGATAGCCATTTGATGCCAGAACTGTGGTTACATGATTTAGTTCTCTTTCTTTGCTTTCGTCTTTCTTTGCTTTTGTCCTTGATTTCGTCAGTCTCAAGGATCGTTTGATAAATGATGTTGCAGTACTAATTTTATGTTTTTGGTCGTGGTGTGATGAAGCAGTTTCAGTAACGGTGTGAGTGGGTTTGCGGTAAACTTCAATAGGAATTATGCTGTCCCTTCTAGAAATTAATGTGTCAAGGAAAGCGATCTTTCCGTCCTTTTCGTTTTCAATAGTAAAGTTAATGTATGGGTCAATGGAGTTTAGTGTGTCATGAAAAGATGACATGTTAGTCTTTTTTAATATGAAAAAACAATCGTCTACAAAACGTTTCCAAACTTTAGGTGGTGAATTTGCGTCTCGGATGACCTGTTCATCTATCGCTTCCATGCACAAGTTAGCAAAAATTGCGCTAACAGGGCTGCCCATGGCACATCCATGAATTTGTTTGTAGGTGGTGTTGTTATAAACGAAAAAACTATTAGATAAAACAAAATATAGAAGTCGAATGATGTCGTCAATGTCGAGTTGAGTTCTGTCAGGAAGTGTCGGATGGTTTTCAAAGTTTGTTCTAATAAATTTGCATGCTTTGTCAACAGTAATGGCTGTAAAGAGTGAGACCGCGTCAAATGAATTCATAGATTCGTCTTCGTCTATGGTAATGTTTGAAATTTTGTGTTGAATTGAGTAGAGTTGGCTACTGAGAAGCCGTTTTTGTTTTGAAGTGAAGATAGTATTTTGGTAAAGAATTTGGAAGTTTCGTAAACAGTTGAGTCGATACAAGTAACTATAGGTCTAAGTGGGTAACCTACTTTGTGATGCTTGATGGAGCCTGTGATGGCTGGAGGGATTGCGTCACTTGAGTGTAGCTTACGGTAAGTATTCTCGGAAATTTTCTATTGATTCTTCAGGTTAAGTAGCATGGCATTTAGCTCACGTTCTACTCGTTTGAATGGTGGCTTAGGTATCACAGCGTAGGTCGCTTCATCTTTCAATAGGTTTTCCATCTTCTTGTCATACTCGTCTCGGTTCATGACGACTAAACTATTACCTTTGTCGGTTTTCATGATAATTCTTGTCGTGTCCTGTTTCAAGTCTTTCAGCGCTTTTCTTTCGTTGATGTTTATGTTTTTGTGCGGAGGGATGCGGGCTCGGTCTAAGATGGAAGCTGTATTTGTCCGTATAATGTCTTTAGTTTCGTCTGGTAGATCTTTGATCGCTGTTTCAACTTCCGCAATGATGTTTTTGTGTGCAATCTTTGCAGGTGTGATGGCGAACTTCGGTCCTTTTTCAAGAAGGGAGCGTTCTGCGTCGGTAAGAGGTTTCTTCAATAGGCTTATCACGGAGGTATTCCGCTTTGTGGCATTCGTTTCTTTTAGTCGAGTCAAATCACTATCAGTACATGGTCCTGATCAGAGTAATCGCAATATTTTTTTTCATTGGTAAAATGTGAGAAAAAATGTTCTGATTAACATTAATATTAAAAATCCCAAACAAACCCTTCGGTTGAACATGGTAAAAACCGAGTTTTTCTTACTTCTATTTATAGAAAAACCATTGTGGACAAAATGTTGAAATTTTGAAATTATTTTTTTGCGAATATAACTTGCATCCATTGGAAAGTTAAGAAAAAACTATATATAGATCAATTAAACGGTTACCTTGCTTTTGCCTATCCATCCGAAGTTATACAAGATTTAAAATGCTAAAAATTTGTTTTTTTATGCAAATTTTGCGCTATTTTTCCAACTTTGAGCTAGAATAACGACAAACTGGCTACTAAATTGAATATAACGGTTTAATTGACCTTTCTATAGTTTTGTTTAAGCTTTCCAATCATGTAGATTACATTTGCCTAAAAATGATTTCAAAATTTGAACATTCTGTCCACAATGGTTTTCTATAGGTAGAAGTAAGAAAAACTCGATTTCCGCCATGTTCCACAGAAGGGATTTTTTTTATTTTTAGTATGTTAAAAAGGACACCTTCCCCAACATTTTACCACTGAAAAAAATTATATTGCAATTTTATTGATCTCTGGTCACAGGTTGACTGGACTATTTGTTATATTCATTGTTCAAATTGGAAAGGAACTCAAGAAACATTAATTAATTAAATATTCACATTACCCATTTGTAACATAGCATAGATAGTCTCAGATTTCATACCACCCCCTTAAGTTTAGCGTCCTTTATAGAATCATTTGTATACACCCGTCGAAAGCTATAGACTGATAGCTGAAAGCTCGTAGAAATAAATATTAAGTCAGAGAACGTTCAATAAATAAAATAGGCTAAAATAAAAATATATGGCTAGTTGTCAATTCACATACTCAAGTCTCAACCCTCAAAAAACACCCAAGCTTCTGCAGCTACTTTTGCCAGTTGTCTATATGGTTGACTTAAACCAGCTGCAACTGGCAGAGGCGCGTCCACGAAGGGAGATCGGAGGGATGCGTGGGTATACCCCGGCCGAATTTTCAGTCTAAAAATTCTTCGTTTTCATACGCCAATCTGGATGTCCAATCTGAATGTCCTAGCTTCACAAGCGGCTTTCCTTGTTAATTGACCATTTGCGTAATAGACAAAATTTTGATCTAAACAAGTCTAGACAAATATTTCATCACAGCTTGAAAGAGCATCACAAAATTAGTAATATTCCAAACTGTTGTTGCGAAATGTTGAAAAATGCGGAAAATATAGCTTTGCGAAGTTTGCAATTTTCAGCCATTTTAGATTACAAACGGGAAATTGACAGCCTAAAAGCGTATCGGGCTGTCAATTTCCCGTTTGTAATCTAAAATGACCGAAAATTACAAACTTCGCAGGGCTATATTATCCGCATTTTACAACATGTCGTATTAACGAAACTTTGGAATATTACTAATTTTGTGATGCTCTTTCAAGCTGTGATGAAATTTTTGTCTAGATCAAAATTTAGTCTATTACGCAAATGGTCAATCAGGCCTTACGTTTTGTCTCTATTGTTGTTAAACTATGTTATGATGAGTCTAAAAAAATATTTATCTATTTTGTGCAGACATTAACGAGTGTTCGCATCAATTGTGCAATGGCAAGTGCATAAACACAGATGGATCTTACGAATGTCAATGTAACACAGGATATATTCTTGCGGCTGATAGACACAGTTGCATAATAGGTAAATTGAAATATTATATACTTTGTGCCCTAGGTATATGGTCTAGCGGTGAGAAAATCAATTGCTTTAATAATTGGTAAAAATTCAATATTAGAATCGAGAAATAATTTGTATTTCTGTAGGATTGACTATGGGGCGACTACAACGGCAAGACTCGCCATTTTTTACACAGTCAGGCCATTTCGAATTGATCTATGTTATGGCAGTAAATTTTAAAATAGTTTAAGCTTAATTACAGCCCCCATCAGGAGGCGCTGTGTGCATAATTTAAAATATATTAATTTAGAAATGTGACGATTTTTACGATTTTGGCCTTGATCGGGACAAAAATATGTTAGTACTGAATATTAACATTCCCCCTTCTCCGTCTGTTCTATATTACGAAAGTAAAATGTGATTATTACTAATAATAATATACATAAAGATATTACTCGACTGTGATTGGTTGCATGATTTCAGTGCAGTTAATCCCAAACAGCAGTGCAATTTTCTGTAATCACAGTGCAATTTTCTGTAATCACAGTGGAATTTTTTGTAATCACAGTGCAAAAATCTGTAACAAACTGATCTGATTGGTGGCATGGAAAAACATTGTGATGATTAAATCAACCAATCAGTTTAAGGCAGTTTAGTTTTAAAGAAGTAACGGTCACAGATTGCCTCAAAACAAAACAACATGGCGCCGCGCTACACAAAGTAAAAGTTGCCTTCGCGTGGAAAATATGGCTTTTATCTTTATTTTTAAATGGAAAAGCATTTACCTTAAACAAGACTAACAAAAAATACACAGTTGAGTGGAATTTTCAAGCTGTTAGCGTTGTATAATGTGATAAAACAAAGCCAGGAAAACTTTTTGCCAGTGGAATGTTCGCTATAAACGCGTAAGTTAAAACTACAATTGTCTCGAACATTTTTATGTAAATTATTAATAAGTAATAGCATGGTTTCTCGTGAAATTTGGATAAACATGCACTCGTGAGTTTTTCAAAGACCTCAAATAGCACTCGTCCTTCGGACTCGTGCTATTTTGAGGTCTTTGAAAAACTCACTCGTGCATGTTATATCCAAATTGCACTCGAAACCTATACTTACAATCAACATGGATTGGAATATAAAAACATAGTAATATCTAGCCCGTTCGCAGCCCGACATTTCGTTCTTTTGCGCTTCAAATTTTCGGGTGGGGGCTGCTGAGCAGGCTAAGTGGCCTAATACCTACATCGGCGATTATTCTCTACTTATATCATCGCATAAAATCCTGTATTTTCAGCTTGGAAGTCCTAAAATTTTTGGGAGGAAAATTCAAGACTGACATCTGCATCTACAGTATATTTGTTCTGACTATATTAATGCCGGTTGCATGGTTGCTGATAATTCTGGCGTGATAAAAACATAACGCAACAGCATAGTTCGCGTTCCCTGTGCCTGTTTTGTGGATTGTCTATGCACACAGACATCAACTTATCATTCCTTTCTGACTTAATTCTTGCGATTCCCTTTACCCAGGAAACTGCCATCAACACGATCCATTTTGAATGGCCTCCTTCAATTCGTATTCTGCATCCTGCCATATTCTGTTGTCTCACCCATAATCTTACACAATACAGTAGATAGAGATGCAGATATTGCACAGCACATTCCCTATCAGGGTTTTTCAGTGACTGGTTACATTGTGAATAGATAGATAGATAGACAGAAACGGAACTGACGTGAAGCAGACCAAGGTAGATTGTGAGCTTACAAATGATGCTTTAATTAAGCAGCCGCTATTAGTCCATACCTCATTAATGACGTGCCGCCTGACCCATTGTTTAACCTAACCTGGCATGTTTCACACAATACATTATAAGAGGCACAAAAATCGAATTAATAATGACTCCCTGATCGATTATTTGCTGCGACTGAATGATTATATTAAATTTTATGTCATTGCACAAATGTTGTTTCATTAAGATTCATGCATTCCAAATGCCTGCAAAACACAAAAGCCAAGATGTATGACAGACGAACAAGATCCGAAAAGACACCGATGTTTTTGTCCAAATGGTAAAGTTGGTGATAAATGTCAGCACCTAGGTAAGCAATGAGAGTAACCTCATAGTATGTATGTATACTATTTATAACAAAAGGAGATCCGAACGATCAGATATAAAACACGAGGAAAGAGGCGAGTAAAGAGGCTTAAAAAACGGCGAAGTAATTTTAAAAATAAATAAGCCTGTTTATTGATGTAGCTAAGTAGCTAGCTTTTTTAATATGCTTTGTTGCCGTTTATGTGTAACGGATCGTCAAGCCTTCCTGTTTGATTTGTATATTCCATTATTGAGATCGAAAACGACATCTATCAAGTTTACTACACGTAAATTTTCCTGTGTTGTCGTTGTAAGGTTCGACTGCTCGAATCATTTGTGTCGGTTCTTTTTTCATTCAGATCGAACGCATGCATTCCACTTCATTGGTCGAACTTTCATTGAAATTCAAGACCGAGCGCGCATCCATTTCCTTTGTTATCATTTATAAAATGTGTTGAATTTGAAATTAATTACATTGATTTTCAATTATAATACGCATGTTATATAAGAACGTTTTTTATTGCCTGAAATGTCTGCTCAATGACGCGATTGAGCTAGCATGGCAAAAAACGCGCGAAACTTTTACCTCTCTAGGTGAAATATTTCCTCGAGAACTTTCAGAAAATTTTCATTTTTTAATCAAAAAACTATAACGTGTTGAATAAAAACAGTCAGCCATTTGCTTTTGACAGATAATTGATTTACTTTAATTTAACAAAATTATGCGTAAAAAGCCACATTCAAAGCTTATACTCGTGAATCGACGATATTTGCCGTATTTGCCATAAAGTTGGGCAGAAAAGTTTGAGAAAAAAAACCCCACTTCTGACACAGAAAAACTAGTGAACTCGATCATGACTACATTAAAATATCTACTGTTTCCAGGACATATAGGTAATACCAGTGCAAGACAAATGCAAATTCAAGTAAAAAACATAAACATAGTCAGACCCCAACGCAATGATTAGTCTATTGTATACGACAAAACTGTATTAACGCGACCTGAAGTAGTTAAAAAAATTCAGAATAAATATCCCTAACTATCTGCTCTTTTCTTTGCCAATAAAATCAAAGCTTTAAAATTTTGAGTTTTTAAAGCCCCACTTGCATTTTAATATTTTATTGCCGTGTAAAACTAATGATAATAACATGCAATCACAGGTTGGTCGATTTTCGGCGACCATGCGATAAAAAGTGTTTTAGTATTTTGCTTGCCTTTGCTAGGAGAAACTGAAACTTAATCAACATTTGTATTTGTAGTGTATTATAATCTTGGAGAGCACGAAAAATCGTAGCAGTTGATCGAGGCACAAGCTAGACCAACTCTAGCGGTATATAGCGCCTGAGTTCCCGCGTGCTCAATAACTTGATTGAGCACTCTAAATTATGAAAACATTCTTAAATTTAAGGTCCATGTGAAACGGCTGAGAAACGATGTGGAAATGGAACATGTATTCAAGTGGACGATGTTGGAAAATATAGGTGTGACTGCTTCAAAGGCTATGTTGGTTTCTACTGCGAATTTAAGGGTAAGATTACTAATTTCCCTTCCAAAAAATTGTGAGGATGGAGTGAAATAAAATAAATTTAGATTTATTAATTTTGTCCATAAAATATTTACAAGTAGAAAAATAGTTACAATACAACAATAGGCTAGGATTCGTTGAAAATCCTTTTGGACTTTTATTGTGAGCCCTCCACGAATAACAAAATATTGTAAGATTGAAAACTGCGGTTTCGATTCGTTTATATAATGTAAAAGTATATCAGCTTGCAACACATGGTTTAGCAAAATGAACTGCTTATTCTGTAATAACATGCATTACTTTCTAATTTGACAAGAAAATTCTGTTTAAATTTAATGATTTTGAATTGCACATTTACTTTGTGCACGTCATATAATATCGTGATTATTTTTATGTAATATTTCAAATCCGACTAAGAGGAATGGTCTAGATTTCAAGTCCTCGCAACTTGATTAAGCCCGACGCGAAGCCGGGGACTGGATCAAAATGCGAGGACTTGAAATCTACACCAGTCCAATTTGGAGCTTTTGAAATTACTTCTCATGCGACTAATAAGTCACTACTTAAACGGAGAAGAAATTAATTTTGATATTGTCCAAGGACTGACTTTTATTTTGACCCAATACTAGGACTGGATCAATATACTTCACCAGGTATCCAGTATTATCATGCATGTGAGCAAAATAAATCAATATGGTTGACTAATTTATCATGAGTTATTAATGATTTTGAGATAGTTAGATGAGATAGCATTACAATTCCATACGAATAGCTAGCTAATACAAAACATAAAGTTTTTTTAGGTGAATCCGCAAAATAACTTGCATTTTAAGCGAACGATAAAATGCAGCTTTTCAATATTCTAATCAGTTTCGACTGATCAGCCGCAATAAATTATGTTAGTTCTATTTTTTTGAACTTAGATCATTGTATTGCGAAGCCATGCAAGCATGGAGGAAAGTGTCAATCGGACCAGGAAACTGGAGGTTTTATTTGTGATTGTCATCATACTGGCTACGTTGGACCTACGTGCAATCATATAGGTGCTGTAGAAAACTATATTAATATTAGTTTGGGCTTAAAATTCCAAACGACACAAACGTATTAAGATTCGTTACCATTCTTTCTTTTCCAAACATATAATCCTCCTCATCAACAACAACAACAACAACAACAACAACAACAACAACAACAACAACAACAACAGCAACAACAACAACAACAACAACAACAACAACAACAACAACAACAACAACAACAACAACAACA